GCCGCTGCTCTGCGTATTCATTCACAAATGGCTATGGCTCGGCCTCGCCCCCTCCCTCTCCTCATTGGTTCACTGGCGGTGATGGACAGCAGTGGGAGCCAATCGGCTTCTAACTTCAGCTTGTTCAGTTAAGCTATGGCAATAAAATCTGGAGGCTGATTTGTTTCTATGCAGAGTTGCACCAGACTTTTCACTCTCCAGTTTTAGTAAATACCCCCATAATGTTGGTGATTTTATCGTTTTTAAATCTGCTAGTACGTTGGACACAAAAATAGCTGTAATTGATAAAAGATCAGAAGATTCTCATATCTACTACAGTACCCATTACTTCTCTGTTTGTTATTTGAAGTGGGTCAGCCCAGAATTGTTTACAGTTATACTTCTGAAAATAAGATTGTCTGGCGATGCTCACAGAATTTAGTGTCTGGAAACCATTCTCTCTAATGAAGGCTTTAAATTGGCTTTGATTTTTCTTTGTAGAAGTATCAATAGATATTTCAAGTGAATGAGAAATGTTCCTGTCATATTAATCTTTTTCATGTTTTCATTTTAACATTCAGAGTTAATGGCTATAAATTATGAGTTCTTTCCAAATGTACTGCTTTTAGATAACACCCTTTAGAACAGAGAACACTTTTTTCTTTGTATAGAAAATGATAGTAGTATTCTCTACATACTGATGGACTACTGTACTTACAGCCTAGGGCTGTGAAGAATGAGGTATTGTAGTGACCAAAAGTTGGAATTTGTTTTCTTATACGCACAATATAAACAGCAACTAAATCTAATTGTAAAGACACTTTACCTGTGCTAATGCTGAAGAATATACAGTATGTGTGTGTGTTGATCAAAATGCATGCTCACATTGCCAAAGTATGTATGTATGTATTTTCAAGTGTAACTAAATTCCCCACTATACAACCCCCCTTACCTTCCAGTGATGTGGTGTTACATTCCTATCCGGCTGCTGTCGTCTTCTCCCTGGGTGCTGGGCTTTCAAGCTCTTGATTGGCTGGTGGAGGATGACATCATCCCACACGTAAACTGGAGTCATTTATTCCAGTACAGCTCAGTGTACATTATATATTTTTCTAGCAGAGGCCCTAGAGAATAAATTGGTGGGTTTTGCAGTTTTTTATATCACGCAACGGTTTTTCAAATGCAACTTTTTTGAAAAATTATACAGTTTGATGAATTTTAGTGCATACAAACACAATATAATACCCAATTGTTTGGTAAAATATAAAAGATGATGCTACGCGAAGTAAATAGATACCTAACCTGACTGTAGAACAGCGCCAAACTACAGTACCTAAGAATCTGCATAGGCAATTCTTTAAAAGTCTTTACAGGTTACCAGTTTAGATTTGCACAGGAGCTCTAGTGCTAGAATTATTGCTCTTGCTATAATATTCATGGCGATTGTGGTGCAAACACCATTTACATGTGCATGTGTGACCTGCATATGCGTTTGCCTTTGCATGCAAGCGCTGCTTAAAAAAAAAATTTAATTTTTTTTTTTTAATGTTTTTTTATCACTTGAATTGCTACCACAAGGAATGTAAGCATCCCTTGTGATAGTAATAATCACTTATACAGTTGTGACCAAAATTATTCAACCCCCACTGAAATTGATGTGGCATTTGACATTGCTTTTGATCATTCAGTCATCTTGCTTACATTTACATTAAAGAGGCACTTGTAGGTCAGACAAATATAACATAACAGTTATAATGAAATAACACAAATGTCTTTTCTGTGCTCACAGCATTATCAGTTTTATTCAACCCCCAAGTGACATTCAATCTTAGTACTTAAACAAAAACAGTTATAACAGCTTTTTTTTTGTCTTGCAATCTACGGGTTTTTTTCATCAAAGGCCTCCAGTTCAGTCACATTCTTAGAATTGCAACTACTTTCACCCAAGGAATCGTTTAAGCATCCCACTTGTTCCAGCCTTTCCTCTGCAACCATGCTCTAGTACTTGTAATCATTGTCCTGTTGAAAGGTCAACTTATAGGACTACACGTTTCTTTACTGAGAGATCTGAGGCTGAAGCTATTGACCCCAGATCTCTCCTCTGCCCTTTAACCATTTGCCTAAAGGGATCACTTCTCCTGCACAAGGCCCTCCAGTTCAGTCACAAGCGTCCCACCAGCGGTTTCTCAATTTTAAGTCTGGTGACTGCGATGCCACTCCAAAATGTTCCAGCCTTTCCTCTGCAACCAAGCCATAGTGGACTTGGAGGTATGCAGTTTCCATCCATTATCTCCTGGTACTGAAGAGAATTCATGGTACCTTGCACACGCTGAAGCTTCCCTGTACCTGCAGAAGCAAAACAGCCCCAAAGCATTTCAGCTTTCACAAGGGGGTACGCTATCTGGCACAGTTTGAATGACAAACTTCTGTACCCACATCTGCGGTCATGCAACACGGGGACCCATATTCAGGTAATGTTTCATCTTCTTTTTTTTAACAGAGCCCTTTCTTTGATGCTTCCTAAGGGTCTCTTGGTATGTTTAACATCACAATTTCTGGGTTTTTCTCTTGTCTTCCTGGATTTTTTGCTAAACAAAAATGTCTAGAAGGAGCAAAACAGTCATTTTAAAAAATTATTTTGAAAAATCCAAAGTTTTTTCTTAGTTTTTGTTATAAAAAGGGGTTTAATGTAATGAAGAAACCACAGTGATTTTACTCTCTGTATTACATAAACAATTGACTCATTTTAGATGCATTTGTAGCGCCTAATGAGGCTGTACAATTCCAAATGTATGGTCACAGATAGGGGGTTGAATAATTTTGCACTGATAGGTGACACTAAGGAGGAGGCACTGATTTGGGGCATTGACCCCCTTCCTGCCAAGGCCAGCAGCACCGCTATCGCAGTTTGAATGACACTCATGCAACACTGTACTGGCAGAGCTGTTAGGTGGCACTGATTGGCATTGATAGGTGACACTGACTGGCACACAGATAGACTAGGTGACACTAAGGACACTGAAAGGCAGCTCAGATGACTGGCACTGATATGTTGGCATTGATAGGTGACACTGAAAGTAGGGGCATGATATGAGTAGGCATTGATAGTCTCCTGAAACCCTTGTACAAGCATTTGGGGAGATTTTGTATAATTTTGTTGGTCTTCAAAAATGATGGGCACTGGCAGGTGGCATTGATAAGCACTGAGAGCTGGCATTGATGGACACTGACAGGTGGCACTGCTGGGGCTACACAGATCATCAGTGCCCTGATGATCAGTGCACATGTCCTCTCTGTGGAATGCCGATTACCGGCTCTCCTCTCCTCTCGAGCTGTCAGCGTAACAGCTCGTGAGGAGAGAATTTTCCCTATTTACATGTGATCAGCTGTGATTAGACACAGCTGATCACATGACCGAGCCAACATCTTCAGCTCTTTTCGGTGATCCGCTGTGTCCGAGAGACACAGTGCACCACCGATTGCCATGCTGCGCACCCCCGGAGCAGCGCACGCGCAGTTAGAGTGGGAGGATGTCATATGACATCCTCGCAGAACGAGAGAACTGCCTTGTGCCTGTCATTACCTTATATGGCTGGTGGGAGGCGGTTAAAGCATCTGATCACACCAAGATTATTGTGACCAGATGCTTTACCAAGCCAAAAATGGCTTTGTTGACATCTGGAGAAACAAAGTAATAAAATGCCCATCGCTTCCGGCTTCTAATACCATAGAAATGATCAGGGACATTCAGGTTCCCGTTTAGCTTTATGGTAAGCTGGCGATAGGGCACCCCTCCCATCACTTATATGTGCAGTCCAGCAGTTATTTAGCCACTAGGATTGCTTTTACGTTACAGAGAATTGCTGGCTTAAAAGAAAAAAAAAAAAAGCAGGCATCATCCTTTTATCTCCACTTAAAGTCCAGGATGTCATATGACATCCTAAAGGCAGGAAGTGGTTAGAAAACTGAGAGCAGGCATGTCGGAGTGTATTAGGCCAGTTATAGATTGGGGTGGTTGCCACTTTCTTATACAGTTCTACGAATTGGATGCAGGGACGCATGGGATGCCTTTCCTGCCGTTGTGCTCTTGCTGTACATTGTGTCCCTGTGCCTTTAAGGAGGAGTGGGATACCTCCAGGCACACCTGCCCTTAATCTATACATTCTTATATGTACTCCTACTTTGGGGGCTCTGGAAATTTGGAGTTAGGACCACAGAATTTACAGAGGTCCCTTGGTGCGGACACTGTGGCTTACGTATATAATTGTGAATGTGTGCAAACAAAACCCTGTATTTTTAACGCAAACTGTTAGACAGGGCTAATTCGGTTGTTTTGCAGGCTTGTTGGTAAGTGTGCTGTAAAATGTTTTGTTTGTATTATTGCAAAAGGGACCTAGCATGTCTGATCTGCATTAAAAGCTGCCTGCTCTCAGTTTTCTAAAAGTTAAGTTTCGTTCCGCCTATTTCAGTGAAGTGAGAAAAAATTCACTCAGCACAGCTAATCTAGTGATAAGATGCCTAATATCTAATTTGCTCAGTAGACTATTTCTTCAGTTGGTGCTGTTTGTTGGTGCATGTAATAACTGCCCAATCCAACTAAAATAGTCTAGAGCAGTGGTCTCCAAGCTGCTTCCCCGGGGCCTGATGTGGCCCTTGCCTTTTTCTAGCCCTTGGGGCACTATTCCTCCCACTGATATGAGATACTATTCTGCCAGATTACATCAATGGGGGGAAACCATTTCTCCCACTTACACCTATAATGGGGCACTATTCCTTCCAATGATACAAACGGTGATTCTTACCAACCTAGAGAAGTCTTCTGTTATTACAACATTCATTTATCTACCTTTTTAATAAATACATCTTGCTTTACACACTTAAATTAATGGGTTTGGTTTCTAGGCTGTGGTGTGTATGAATTGTTGCTTTTATACATGTCTGCTATAATGTAAAGGTCACAAATTTCATTACTCTTTTGCGAATCCTTGCTGCTCTGACCTATCTTTTTTAATATTTTACAGAATCCTAACAAAGCTTTTGGAAGTCTCTGATGACCCTCAAGTCCTTGCTGTGGCTGCCCATGACGTAGGAGAGTATGTACGACATTACCCCAGAGGAAAAAAGGGCATGTTCAACCTATGTATTTGGCACCAGTGATTTACAGTTTCATTTTTTATAGCTATTTAGTAGGTTATTGAAAAACATTAATGTATACTACCCCAAAAAGTAATATATACTTAGCCAACAATTTACAGCACTGTGTATAATAACCTTCACAATTCATGTAAATGCACCTTCTGAAATCATTCAGAATTCACTGACAGATGTATTTGACCTGCAGTTGACTTCCTTCTGACCTATTTCAAGTGCTTTTTGCATTCTCATAGACTTGCATTTGAATAAAAAATCTGTCTGATGTGGACAAATGCCCATAATCAAAGGCCCTTATTCTTTCCGTACACATGATGATAATTACCTGGAAAATTTCAAACCTGTTATTGCAAAAACTATGGAACGGGTCAGCCCAGCTTACTACTATCCCTGCCCTTAGATATACATATAAAACTGTTGCTGGTAGGTTGCCTTGATACACTTGATTGTTTTTGTGATTACATTGGTAGGACTTTGCAGGTACAGTATATGCGTAGCGTTTTCTCTTGTTTTTCTAAGAAATATTGCTGTTCACATTGCTATAGTTTAACCTCTTTCCGACTGCGCTATAGCCGAATGACTGGTACAAGAGCAGTCATCCAGGTCTGGGAGGGCGTCTTTTGACGTCCTCCCAGACCCCCTGCGCTCCCCTGTCCCTGTGGTGCGTATCGGGCGCACTCTGTGATCTCTGTGTCCTTCAAACACAGCTGATCACAAATCGAGGTAAAGGCCAATCACAGCGGCCCTTCACAATGTGATCAGCTGTGACTGGACACAGCTGATCACATGGTAAACAGGATTTGCCAGTAATTGGTAGTCCTCCCCTCACACTAAGTGCGTGAGGAGAGGAGAGCAGGTAAGCGGCAGTTCACACAGGGACATCTACACTGATAATCAGGGCACTGATCATCAGTGCACGTCATCAGTACCCATCAGTGCAGCCTCATCAGCGCACATCAGTGAAGGAGAAAAATTACTTGTTTACAGAATTGTACAACAGAAACTAAGAAACTTTAAAAAAAAAAATCTTTGGCTTTTTTTTCATTTGTTAAGCAAAAAATAAAAAACCCAGTAGTGTGAAGTTTACATCACAGCATTGCTTTTCTTTTCCTTCAGCTTTCAGCAGTTTCTTGTTTCTTCCGCCACTGTCACCTTTAGTTGTTTTCCTGTACATTTCTCCAAGGTTCTTACAGCTCTCTGCTATTCTGTGACATTGTTCTATTACTATGGTTACTGGAGCCCTTTTTGAAGACTTAGTTTGTATAAAGTGGATATGAAGCTGTAAACAAAGTTCTGTATACTCATAACATTACTAATTTTATGGTAAAGCAGTTTTAAACTCAAAACCAAATATTTATTGATAGATGTGATGGCTGTATTAGTTTTCTTTTTTAGGCTTCTTTCTTTTATTTTCATCTGGTGATCCAACCACTAAGTCTGTTTTTCCAAAGAATAAGCAGTCCTGCAGATGCATCAGTTACAGGGATGAGACAAACCATTTACCACTGACGGGTGCTTAAAATGATCAGCTGTTATTTATTCTTGTTCAAATGTTTTATTGGTTTTCAAGGGGTGGGAACATAGGCATAGGACAATCTATAGACATTTGTACAAAGCAATTTGTGAAAACAGATATGGTGTCCAAGTGAAGGAGGGGAGAAAAGCACCAAAATACAAAAAGCTGCAGGTTAGATGAACGAGAGAAGGCATAGTTGTATGCAAGCATTTTGACATATATGTTGGCTTAGAATAAAGTGGTTACTGGGGTGTTCTCCCTAAGTTCAAGTGAGAGTATTGGGGAAAGAAAAGAGAAAGCTATTGTGAGGGTGTAAGAGAGAAGAGGGGGGGGGGTAGAATAAAGATGGTTGTTAGAAGGGGGAAGAGTTGGGAAGAGGATAGAGGAGTGGGAGGGTAGTGTGTGATCCTAGGATCCTATAAGGGTGTTCGAGACTGAAGATAATGGAGAGCAGATTGATGGAGTAGCAAGGCAGTGGGGGTAGTAAAATCAAGGAAGGAGGAGGGAATCGTCAAAGTTAGGTGGAAGGAAACATTCCATCCATTGGTTCCAGATTACCATGAATTTAGGGATATTATCTAAAATGGTAGCTTCAATTTTAGCATGGATCATAGCCTGCGTAACCTTGATGGGTATGATTGCGGAGGTCAAGAGGTGGGGGAGGAACGGACAATCGTGAGGATATGGTCAATTTGTGAGAAAGTCTTGTGGGATGAGAGTAGAAGGTATATTGGCATTTTGCCGGGTTTAGTTCTCTCCAGGTGTCAACCAAAGAGTGACGGTGTAGTAGAGATTGAAAATCATGTTTGGAGACTGGTGGGAGGGAAGGTTGGGGCGACTTATCAACGAAGGGGTAAAGCGTACAATTATAATCTTAGCAGATGAAGAGAGTGCCACGTTTGTGGTGGTCAATAACCACCAACAGATGGGAGAGGAACGGTAGTGGACCTTGGTTGGGTACGTAATAAACATTAATGGTTATTTCTGAATCAAGCATTATTCCTGTCAGGAGAAGATAGTGCCCTTCAGGGTCTTTGATTTCAGAAAATAGTGTAAAGGGGGTTGTGCGGTGGAAGGCGATGAGAGACCTGCGGGTAGCGGGGACCAAAAAATTTAGGAGTGAATGTAGTAGAGAAATGTGTCTCTTGTAGGCATACAATGTGTGCCTTGTGTGACGCAAATGATCAGAAAGCTTTGTTACGCTTCTGCGGTATGTTAAGACTCTGAACATTCAGGGTAAGAATATTCAGGGAACCCATGAGAGGAATGAGTGATGAAGTCTGCAGTAATAAATCTTCGTCAAGGCGGATAAGAAATTGTCTCGAGCGGTGGAGAAGAAATTGTGAAGATTTGGGTGTAAGGAGTTACACGGAAAAGTTAGGGGGGAGTAAGTGTAGGGAGGGGCATAAAGCTATAGTAACGGGGGCTATCGTAACCCAGATGGTGATCCCTGGGGTCTCTGTAAGGAAGAGAGGCCCAGCCTAAGTAGCCCGAGCAGTACAAAAATGCTATACCGCAAGAGCTAGTGGCGAGTGCGCAGTTATGTGCACCAAGGGGAAGACAGCAAGTGTGTAAACATACGGTGTTAGGTTCCTGCAAATAAAGCCAGAATCTAAGTTCCCGGGGAAATCTGGGGGACCTGGAGTCAGGCGACACGTGCCTTTGGGCATTAACATGACCTATTCGTATGTGTGGCCCGGATCAGGGTTCTTAAATGGGTGCATAAGCACAACTGTTAACAGAAACATACAATCAAGTACAAAGCAGGGGGGAGCTAGAGTGAAAGAAAAAAACAATACAAAAACACAATATAGATACATTTTTAACAGTTGGGGTTAGTTGTCAGCAAGGATACATAAGTTCCTCAGTTGAGTGTGGGGCGATAGAAAATGGAGGCCAAGGGTGTGCAACAGGCAGGTTTGCTCCAACCGGTGGTGTGCAGACAAGGGGGCCAAAGCGGTCAAGTAAGCATCAGTCCATGGAGTCTTGGTGGGCTGGAGCAGGTGAGGAGAAATGTCCTCTCTTGTGGGCACTGAGTTGATCAGCGGCGAGATGAGAAGGATGCGGTTTTAGTGGGGAGCAGGATGCGGATTGTCGACGGGAGCCCTCGGGGAGGGGGGGGCGCAGATGGAAGAAGTTGGAGACTTCGCAATGTGTCGAGGAGGTCCTCAGGGGTCTTGCAGGTGTAGTCTCGGGCTTGAAAGTGGAAGCGTACAGCGAATGGGAAGCTCCATCTATAAGGTATGCCATGCTGTTGGAGTGCTTGAAGGTGGGACTTCATAGCTCTGCATTTTGAGATCGTTGTGTGGCATAAGTGTTGAAACAGCTGATAGGAATGGCCCTGGAATGACACAGAGCCTGCATTGCGGGTGGCTTGGAGGAGCTGTTCCTTGGAGTGGAAAAAAAATGGAGCTTAGCAATGATATCGCGTGGGGGGCCGTCAGTGCGGCGTGGAGCCAGTGCTTTGTGGACTCTGTCCATTTCTAGTTGCTCTATTGATATTGCAGGGGCTAGCTCTTGAAACAGGGCCGTGACAGTGGATTGGACATCTATGATAGATTCCGGAAGGCCACGGATCCGTAAATTTGAGCAGTGAGCTCGGTTTTCAAAGTCCTCAAGACGAGATTGTAATGTTGCATTCTCGTCACGTAAAAGCTCAAGCTCATCTGAGTGTGTTTGAAAAGAAGGTATTAAGGTCATCGACCCTTTGTTCCAAGTCAGCGGTGCGTTGCCCCAATTCACGGATTTCCCTAGACAGCTCGTCAGTGATGCGGTCTGAGGTTTGTTTCAGGGCCTTATGTAGCATCCTTTCAAAACGCATGAGAAGATCAGGTGTAGATGGGTCAGTGATGGGAGCATGTAAGGGGGTCGCCAGGTCAGTGTCAGACTCACCATCTGAAGTGCAGGAAGGGCTGGGATGAGCTAGCTTCAGGGCTGCATATGGCTGTGACTGTGTCTTGCCTCCTGCTGCAGGCACGGTGGCCATCTTGGATGGGGGTTTTGCTAAAGCCTCTTTAATGGGCTTAATATGCGGCGGCGCCTGGTGTTGTTGGGTCGCTCCCCGGACCATATTGTCGGGTGCCAGGGGGGTTGCCATGGCGACCAGGCCCGCTTATAACACGCTGCGGGCTGGGAGCGGAGATCGAGAGGCTGGCCTCCCCCAAGTGTGGCAGAGCTTCAGGTGGATATGTCTGTCCTGCCTGCTTGCGCATGCGCACTCTGAGCTTTTATTTATTCATGTAAAACCTGTAACTGATTATAAAGTTTGATCTGGGGTTTGGCATCAATTACGTAATGTAATTAAATCTTCTAGTACATCTAACACTCTTTGCTCCCCTCCCCAGACTGAAAATTCTGCTTGTTTACTGTATTCATTGTGCTCATTCATTGAGAGTGGGACCACTCTAATACAGGAGATATGTTACCAGTCAGATCACCAGGGGAAAACAGGGGAAGAATCCTAAAAAAACACCCAAAAAACTAATGTAGCCAGCACATCTAATGATTTGCTAACCTGCAATATAAAACATTTTAGGTTTTGTATTTATTACTGGTTTAAGGTACAATATCTTCACGAATTTAAATTGTTCCTGATGTTAATTTGGAAATATGGATTCTGAATTTTTAAGTGTGGCTTCATATACTGATGTATGGGACCTGTTACTACTGGTCCAGAACAATCAAAATAGTACCTCTCAAATGTCCCCCCAAACTGTATCAGATGTTCAGCATGTGAATAGGCTTGTTCAAGACACAGGATTGGCTGGTCAAGCTCTGGTAGTCTTCAACAAAATGTGCAGGCAGCCACCATTTTGTTGGCTACCACTGGTGGTACTTTCCCATTTCAAGGTAAGTATTGTACCAGTAGTTCAGATAGTGTTTTGTGTGCAGAATACATTGGCCTTGGGGAGCAGCTTAGTAGGGCATGGGTTTATGGGTTAGGTAAAGGCTAGTTTAACAGGATGTCAGGTAACTGTTAAGGGTAAGTTATGGTGTCAAAGTTAGATTTTTAGTTAGATGTTAGGAGAGGGGTGACTGCTGAGGGTAGATTTCCATGGTTAGGTTTGTGATTGACTGTCAAGCTAATTTAATTGTTAGGCTCCTTTTGAGATGGGTTTTTCAATAAGTTTTGCCTGTCAATTTTTCAGGCGGACCTGATCGGAAGATCGATTCATCTCTATAGACAGACGAGTGTAAACTAACTTGTGTCTTTTTACATCCACCTACCTCCAAGTCCAATCAAGCCTGCTAAAATAAAAAAAAATTTAAAAAAAGACAGGACTCCATCTTCCGTTTAGTTTTAGCGGATCGGAGGTAGTCGCATGTAAAAGCAGAGTCCATTTACTCCCAACCACCCATAGAGCAGAGCAGGTTCTGCCTGGGTCCTGTCTGCAGATACTGAGTGGTTTCGGATGTGTCATACGCTCTCTATGCTTTGATCAGCATGGGATCAGCTCACAGATCCCCTGCTGATCACAACAGAATCTGCCCTACATGAAAGAGGTCTTAAAGTTACCTGTCATGAGAGAACCATATGGGTTGCCATTGCTAGTCTTCTGAAATGCTTGGTTTCTGGTCATATCTAGCTTCTGTTACAGATTCAGAACAAGTGTGCAGCAAATGAGGACCTGGAAGAATTAGTTATTTTTGTCTTTATACAAGTTCTAGGCCAGTTACTGAAAAATGGACTTAAATGTATCAGCATGCCTGCCTTAAAACTAGCAGTTCCCAAAAAAGTCAGAAATGGCAGACCACATATTTTCCTGAGAACAGGTGTGGTAAAACTCATTAGGCAACAACAAAACAAGTAAATAACTTGGAGACAGCTAGTGCTGTCAAGTAATTGGCAGTATAAGTTACTACGGTCAGTGACAATATGGCAGAAATATTGGTTAAAAAAAAAAATCTTGTAATATATGTAAGAGCCTTTATTTAGCAGATGTACTATGTGATATTGCCCATAGAGGCATAATGGTGTTTTCTTTTCTCACCATAGCTGATGTAAATGTAAACTGTTTGTTGCCTGTGGATTGCTTACCCCTTTGCTTTATCTGTCTGTGATTTGCATCAAGAGTAGCCAGCAAGAGATTACATTTGCTGGATCAGAGAAAGAACTGTTGTGCAGAATTGCATGTTGAGCAGCAACACGAAATCTAATTTTTGTTTTAGGCTTGTAATCATATAATTCTTCATCTACCCACTTTACAAAACATACAGATTTAAGCAATCATATTTCTTAACAAGTGTTTCGATTTTTGAATAACACCTTCTCCTAGATTGCAGTAAGATTAATTGTATAGACAAGCCAATATCTGATCAATATGCCACCCCTTTCTTGCAGGGTGATTGAGCAGTTAGGTGGTAAGCAGCTGGTAATGAACCACATGCATCATGAAGACCAGCAGGTCCGTTACAATGCTTTGCTGGCTGTGCAGAAACTGATGGTCCATAACTGGTAAGTGACAGTTTAAGGAATGAGTTTTTATGTAAACAATATATTCTTAAATAATACATCTATATTCTGCTTTTGTAGGAGTGTTTCTTAAATAAATGCTGTTTCACATTATTTTGGTGTGTGTGTGTATATATATATATATATATATATATATATATATATATATATATATATATATGTGTGTGTATATATATCAGAGTTATGTCCACAGTTCTGTTTACAGTTAATTTAAGTTTAATTTGCCCTGTCAACCAAAAGGAAACAAGAACTATTTTTAGAGACATTTTTTGTGTGTGCATGTAAGCTTATTTATATATATATAAATTTTTTTTTTTTTTTTTATTTTATTATGGTAATGCACTATTGTGAGTTTCTTTTTCTTTGAGGTTTTTCACATAATTCACTGAACACAATCAACGCTGCAAGATTTACATTTTTTTGGTTCTATCATTTTGATTATTGAGACACTGGGCTTTTATGATTTTGTTTTGATTATTGGGACTTCGGACTTTATGACTTTCTGTTAGTTCACGTTTAGAATTATATGGGGATATTTTTGTGGTTGCACATATAGGTAGTTGTTAAAAGAGGGAAGATTCTCTTTTTGGATTAATTTATTTTTAGAGACCTGTCTGAGTTTGTTTTACCAAAGTATCTTTTGTCACTCTTTTTTTGGGATCAGTAGCCTGCATTTTAACCTTTTCTGTATGACCTCTAGTACAAGGCATGTGCAGAATAGAACTGATGCTAAATCATTCATGTTCTGTCCTTTAAAACCAAAATAGTTACATTTCTTGTTAAGAAGACATTAGTCTGGAAGGGAATTCTAATTGAGAAGGTTCTTTGACTTGGGTCATCATGCATTGTTTGCTTTATTAGCACATATATGTGTTTGTTTGTATTAATGTTTTCATTGTTCATTTTTTTCTGTTAGTTGAATTAGATGGACTTTTTTTTAGACCTAGCTATGTATAATACACACTGACGGTAGACTAACAAGAGGCAAGATTATATGTACGTGGGCTAACAAGAGCAAAAACATAGTGAAGAACTTTTAAGAAGAAATAATGTCTCTGTTAGTACAGTCAGATTTTGTGCTAACTGAAAATGAATGTGATTTCTTATTTTCCCTTTTAACCCTAAGTAACCTGGCCAAATATAATATGGCAGTTGTGTTTACTGAAGTAATTAGAGGATCACTTGCAGTACAATGGTTGCTTATAAACCTTCCTTCTTCCTAGTTTGCAGCGAATGAGGTCAGGCAATGGATAGGCAACAGCTGTCCTTAAAACACCAGTTATCAGTATCAGGGTTGGGAATCGTAATTAATTCTTAGTAAGGTTGAAGAATAACTCACAAATAGAAGTTTACTCTTGCTGATCCAGGGTTATAGCAGGCTACAGGTGCTTGCCTCAAGGCATCCCTGCACAGATAGCAGACCATAAGATAATTGGGCAGATGGGCTCAGTAATTCAGACTCTTCAACTTGATTGGGGATTTTAGTACATTGATTACAATGAAAATAATAACTGGTGCACAGAGGTTCTCAAGTCAACGTGTGTATACTAGTATAGGACAATATTGGGACGGAACAGAGATTCATTAAAGTCTGTACAGTCCATAGTCCATGTGTGAAACGATGTATAGCTTTAAACACCGGCGGCTGCTATCCTCAGAGTTTGGCCAGCTCTGTATGAGATGCAAGAAAAAGAAGTGGGGAAGCGCCACCTAAGTGCAATATCTAAGATACAGTTTAATCACAATTGGTAAAAAACACACAGGAGTAAAATTATATGAAAGCTCATCTGTTATCATAGTTCACCTCTCCTTTCTGTCCTGCTGGTACCGTTAGGTGAGTCCATGCAGCTGTTGATTGCCTGCTGCTTCTCTCAACCCTCCTCCACTTCGAGGGACGTCACATCCACTGTGCGTACCATGCTGGTTGGCGTGGACTTTCGGTTTCCTGCCTTAGCCACTTCTTTGCCATCTATAGCTGCATGGATTCGCTTGACGATACCTGCAGGACGGAGATGAGTGGTGGACTATGATAACAGATGAGCTTTTCATATATTTTACTCCTATCTGTTTTTAGCTGATTGTGATTAAACTGTATCTTACATATTGCACTTAGGTGGCGCTTCCCCCCCCCTTCTTTTTCTTTTTAGTACATTGGTTAAAGGCCCTGAGACTCTCTCCTCTGACGGTTGCCTCATTTTGTTGTCTTCTGGTCATTCACCTGGCCCTTTGACCACAGATGCCTCATCTTTCCTGCCTAAAGAGAAATGTTCAGCTACATCGTCACAGTGGTAGCAGAATTTCTGATCTTCTTGAAGCTTTGGACTTCAGAGATCATGGCCTTGCTCCTTCTACCTCCCCTCAGCATCTGACATTTGCCCTTTTGCTATTCTGATTAAATCTTGGGGAGATATCCATTTCCACTTTCTGTTCAGTAGAGACAACATTGAGTGAGACTAAATCAAGTAAGTGATGAAACGTCCTCTTAGGCATTTGTCACTGGAAAATGTCCTCTTTATTCTTACTACGGTGTCAAATTTAATATTTTCCCATATTTTCAGTATTGGGGACACAGATAACAGAGGATGTGATTCTAGAGAATATGACACAGACAGCAATTAAAACCTTCCAGGGGTTTCCAGACAAATCTATCCAAAACTTGAAGAAAAAAAAAAAAGGTTCTGACTTTAGATCCACATTACCATTCAACCCCTCAACACTTAACCAAACACCAAAATTAGGCCCTTAAAGTATAACTAAAGGCAAAAAAACTTTTGTAGTTTTTTTTTTGTTTTTGTTTTTTTTTTCTTTTTAGAGTGGAGAGGGATTAGAACACCTTTCAGTTTATTTTTTTTATTGCTGTCTATGCCCCCTCTTAGGGAGATTCACCCTCTATATTTGTCCTGTTTGCTATTGGCATTGAAAGTAGAAAAAATAAACCTCACATTTTTTGTTTTGTCCCCAGAAAAGTAATAGAGAGCAAATATTCCAGTGGCGACACTAGTTCTAGAGACCTTGGGATCCCAAGGAATTCTGTTAACCTCACTGTCGGTAATCCCGCGTGTGGCTCAGGGTTAATTTTCAGTACCAAAAATGGTTACCCCTACCCACACTTGGGATTACACTGTAGTGTTTGTGTGTAGTGTAACTTACCTTGTCCCTGCGATCCCCCGATGTCCTCCCGCTGTGTCCTCCATCTGATGTCCTCCCGCTGTGTGCTCCGACCAATGCAGGCATCCGTCTTCCAGCTTCCCTTCCCTGGAAGCGCCGCAATGCAGTGGGGTGGAACCGGCGGGAGATTCAAAAAAGTGAAAACATGACATACACACAATACAGTGTAATTTGTTAGGATTACATTACTGTATCAAACCATTTCACCTCAGTTTTGTCCCTAGTGCTTTGTCCAATGCCGTGCCTGTACTTTTACCATTCTTTCTGCCTGGAAACTTGAGAACGTCCATTGCATCCAAAAAGCGTCCCTTTAGGTCAATAGCAGTTTTAGAACAGCTAGAAAACAGCGTTAGTGAATTCGAATCACTTGCAGAATTGAACGATAGTGATTCATGGGGAAATTTGTCATCAGACACTGAAATTTCCATGCAAACCAATGTATCGCTTTGACATTCAAAAATATTGACATAATCAGACCGCCAGGGAGGTTAATTTGCAGGGATTTTCTCTTGCTTCCTATTTTGGCTATGGGACAGTAAGTGTAGGTAAATCTCCCCAATGGGACACAGATGACAAAAAAGTAAACTGATGGGGGTTATAACCCTCCCTTACTCTATCCAAAATAAAAATAAAAAAATATAGTTTTGCCTATAGTTCTACTTTAATACTTTGCCCCTAGGTCTACCACTAAACAGTCCCTAAAGATAATTAACACTTGTTCTGCTTATCTACCTCATCCTGTGTAAGTAGCTGCAAGTTCCATACCAAAAGCATGCAACACTGAGATCCAAGTTTCAAAAAACTATTTCTTGGTTTTCCTATATCCTTTTTTTATTAGCACTTGTCAAACATTGTTATCTGGTCATTTCTCAGGTATTGTGAAGATAAGTATTGTATTTCAGTGACTGTTTGAGTTTGGGGGAAGTGGCATTAGAGGTTTATAACTTTAAACAAATTGACTTCTAACTTTATCAGATCTTAAATATTTATGAGCTTCTAAATTGTAGGTTTAAATGTTTAAAATGTCACAGTAATAAAATGTCGAATTAATGTCATTACAAAGATGCGTCACCAGTGTGGAATACAAAAACATCACAAATTTGCAGAATTTCAAATGAACAAAACTCTGGAAGCACTGGAAAAATAATTTTTACAATAGTTGGTTTTTGCCATCTAGGTTTGTGACATGCAGACCTACATGGACATTATGGATAATGGCTTAAAGAGTTATGTTATCTCCTGTAAGTAATGTTATTAACATGACTCCATTTATCTTTTGTGATAGTTTGCTAAACTAGGCATTAGAAGCAACTGCCTCTGCCTAAACCAAATTTTGCTGTCAGCCGGTCGCTCCATCTGTGAGTCAAGCTGGCCCTATACATTAGAGAGTGGCCTGATTTGAACAAATAATCTGACCATTCCCAGTATTTGTGTCTGTAGCTGGGTCCTTAAACACAAACAATGACCTTAACCATGCAAAGCCTATGGAGATAGACTGGTAAGGTAAACACAACATTTACTCATTAGAAGAGATGGACATCAGTCACCGAAGGTTTCCAAACCGTGTCTGAGCACTGTGCCCAGCGGATAGCTTGTAGATATTGGCGACTGCCCATCTATATCTATTGGATGGCAAACAATTCATACCGAGTTTAGTTTCCAACCATGCAGGTAATTAGATTGTTCTCTTTACATAATATTTAATGATAAAAACCCCTTTGTTCAATGCTGGTGTTTCTTTTTATCTTGAGTTCCTTTCTAATGTTGTTTTGATATTGGCCATATTATAGCTAATTCATAATGATGGATGTTGC